GATGAGCGTCTGGTCCCAGGTTGGATTTAAAGTGTTTTTCCCCACCACTGTCTTTTGGCTCTGATGGAGGAAGGACACAATGGCGTACGGGTCTGGAATCAAAAAAGAAGAGAACAGAGGGCATTAATGGATGGACAATACTTACCCCTCAGTAAGCCTAAAATTAGGACAGGGCTGTCAGTGATAAACCCAAACTGTTTAGCAAAGCTGTTTTTTTTTTTTTTTTGCGGCACCCCAGATTATTAGGCAACCTATTTTGTTGAATTTGCCATGGGAACAATGCCAAACCCACAAACTGAGGGTCTCAAAAAATGTAAAATGAACCTTTGATGCTCATTCTTAACTACTTCCCGTCTGGTCCATGTACAGTTGCAAGAAAAAGTATGTGAACCTCTTGGGATTACGTGGAGTTTTGCATGAATTGGGCATAAAATGTGCTCTGAATGTCATCTAAGTCACAACAATAGAAGAACACAATCTGCTGAACAGTTTTGTGAAGAGCAGTGGTCCAAAATGACTCCAGATCGTTGTGCAGGTCTGATCTGCAACTACAGGAAACGTTTGGTTGAGGTTATTGCTGCCAAAGGAGGGTCAACCAGTTATTAAGTCCAAAGGTTCACATACTTGTTCCTCCCTGCACTGTGAATGTTTACATGTTATGTGCAATTAAACCATGGCAACATCTAATGTTTGTGTAGTATTATGTTCAGCAGACTGTATTCTTCTATTGTTGTGACTTAGATGACGTTCAGAGCACATTTTATGCCCAATTCATGCAAAACTCCACGTAATCCCAAGGGGTTCACATACTTTTTCTTGCAACTGTATATAAACTGCGGGATGGGAGCAGTGCAGGAGCGGGTGGCCGTTTATAAACGTCCTCCCGCTTCCCTGCCTGTGCGCACTCCCTAGGAGTGATCACATGAATCGTCACCTCACAGAGGTGTTCCGGCTTATGTATGTAAGCTAAGCTACTTATTAAAGTGGTTCTAAAGTCCCAAGGTATTTTACCTTCATGCACAGCCAGTGAGCCAAACAGGAGAGGGAACGGGCGGGGTCAAGCCGCGACGCTGTGTGTGAATGGCATGCTGAGCAGCAGCTCAGAAGTGTGCCTGCTCAGGTGCCCCCATAGCAAGCTGTTTGCTATGGGGGTTACCCGACAGGAGGGAGGGGCCAGGAGCGCCGGCAGGGAGACCCGAGAAGAGGAGGATCTGGGCTGCTCTGTGCAAAACCATTGCACAGAGCAGGTACATATGACATGTTTGTTATTTTTGAGAAAAAAAACAAGACTTTAGTATCATAGAAATAAAATATGCAGCGCTTTTAAAATTAAAATATGAACAAGCAGAAAATCAGAACATGAACAGCATAACTGCATGACAAACTCAGTCCATATTGCATGGTGCGATAAGGTGATAGGTGCAATTGTCCCAATAATCCATGTTCAGAGAAATTCGTGACTCTTGTGATCTCGTGATTTGTACAAAAAATGCACTAACCAGATAGCGCAATAAATGCGCATGGAGCAATTAAGACCCGCTCCTGGTGCTCTGGACTTGTAATATTAGGAGGATGTCATCTGCAGGTTTGGCCACCAGATGTCATCAATCCAGGTATATTGGTAAGTCATCCACCAGAGAGATCATCAGCGGGGGAGGGGGTGATCATACATCATTCCCAAACAGGCGTAACCTTCAAAAACGGGCTCCCATACAATAGATGAGACCCAGAGAAGCCTCTGATAGTGTAGTATGTCTTTAATAGGTAAAACTTACACCAAGTACAATTGAAGGAAAAAACTTACATCAAAGCAAAGTTTGGCCACCAGGGCGTCAGTCAGGATGGCCATCCTGACTGACGCCCTGGTGGCCAGACTTTGCTTTGATGTAAGTTTTTTCCTTCAATTGTACTTGGTGTAAGTTTTACCTATTAAAGACATACTACACTATCAGAGGCTTCTCTGGGTCTCATCTATTGTATGGGAGCCCGTTTTTGAAGGTTAAGCCTGTTTGGGAATGATGTATGATCACCCCCTCCCCCGCTGATGATCTCTCTGGTGGATGACTTACCAATATACCTGGATTGATGACATCTGGTGGCCAAACCTGCAGATGACATCCTCCTAATATTACAAGTCCAGAGCACCAGGAGCGGGTCTTAATTGCTCCATGCGCATTTATTGCGCTATCTGGTTAGTGCATTTTTTGTACAAATCACGAGATCACAAGAGTCACGAATTTCTCTGAACATGGATTATTGGGACAATTGCACCTATCACCTTATCGCACCATGCAATATGGACTGAGTTTGTCATGCAGTTATGCTGTTCATGTTCTGATTTTCTGCTTGTTCATATTTTAATTTTAAAAGCGCTGCATATTTTATTTCTATGTTTCTATCTGGGTCCCAAGGTTACCTTTTATGCTAGCTGCTTCACTTACATGTTCCCAGCGCTCTATTACCTACTTATACAAGACTTTAGTATCACTTTAAGGAAAAAAAATGTCAATTCCAAAAGTCAAACATGCGTTGCCAAGTATGCTGTCACTAAGGCCGTCCACGAAAAGTGTACTGTTCCTTATAGTGTTTCTAAAGGTATTTTTTTTTACAGAAATAACAAAAATGTATTAATATTAATAAAGTAATAAAGTGAGCGCTCAGCAGCTGAAACACTCAAGGTAACCAATATACAGTTGCAAGAAAAAGTATGTGAACCCCTTGGGATTCTGTGGAGTTTTGCATGAATTGGGCATAAAATGTGCTCTGTGTTTACATGTTATGTGCAATTAAACCATGGCAACATCTAATGTTTGTGTAGTATTATGTTCAGCAGACTGTGTTCTTCTATTGTTGTGACTTAGATGACGTTCAGAGCACATTTTATGCCCAATTCATGCAAAACTCCACGTAATCCCAAGGGGTTCACATACTTTTTCTTGCAACTGTATATTAGTGCCAATTTAGACAGGAGCTGATTAACTTACCAGCGTGTCTTTGGAGTGGAAGAAACCCACATAGGCACATGGAGAACATGCAAACACCAGGCAGGTAGTGCTGTGGTTGAGATTAGAACCAACAACCCTAGTGCTGCCAGGTGGAAGTGCTAACCTGTTAAGCCGCTGTGCTGGCCAAAATTGTTTGGTGCTACGGGATGGCATGGTTTGCATACAGTATACAGTGGATATAAAAAGTCTTCACACCCCTGTTAAAATGTCAGGTTTCTGTGATGTAAAATAATGAGATAAAAATAAATCATTTCAGAACTTTTTCCACCTTTAATGTAACCTGTAAACTGTACAACTCAGTTGAACAACAAACTGAAATCTTTTAGGTGGAGGGAAGTAAAAATAAAAAACTAAAATAATATGGTTGCATAAGTCAGTGGCAGGAATAGTGCCTAAGGGCCAGATAAAGGCACATTTTATGCCCAATTCATGCAAAACTCCACATAATCCCAAGGGGTTCATACTTTTTCTTGCAAATGTAAAACCTTGTCATAGACATATAATAAATAAGTGCAGCGCTAAAAATGAGTATTGGCAAAGTCTGTCCCAAGTTGGAAATAACAAAATCACTATGAATATAAATAATTTCCTCAATAAAAATGACAGTCTGTGTAATAAAATGGTGTGGCATAACAATCAAATCCAGTGGCGGTGCTCCAAATAGTGTGGTAAAAATTACGCACTCACCAGATGAGTAATTTAAGTACGCAGTGTATGAATCAATGGAGGTCTCCTTAACAGATATGGGTCTGGTCTGGAACGCAAATAATCCTCCTTCAGGGTGGTGTTGTTATGAGCCCTCAGAAGAGTAAGAAGATCCAGCTGGCCAGAGGTCCCTTTAAGGGATGGATGGGTACAGGTGCTCCCCTCTCTGGATACGGTGGATGGATGACTGGATCAAAGCGGGCTACCATCATCCAGCCACAGACTACTGTGTCTCTGTTACCTCTCAGGAGCTTCACAAACTGCCCGTCCCATGTGACTGGCAGTTTGTGAAGCTCCCGATCCTCCTCTTCTCAGGTCCCTTACTGGTTCTCCTGACTCCTCTTCGGTGGGTGCCCCCATTGGAAGCCTCTTCCTAGGGGGGCACTAGTACCGTCCATAGACACAAACATCGGGACTCGCCGCCACGCCCCTTTGTCATAAGATATGATTGATACCAGCACTATCAGTAAGCTCTGTGGGAGGGAGAAAGAGGAGAGATCCGCCGCTCTCATGCACATTACTGGATCGGGATGGGCTCAAGTAAGTGTTGGAGGTGGGGCACTGGATACAGATTTTTTTTTTACCTTCATGCATAGAATGCAAGAAGGTAAAAAAAAAAAAACTTCAGCCTTTAGAACCACGTTATTACCACATACAGATTTAAGGCATCCCTTAAACCTGTAACGTAAAGGATTTGTATATTGTCAATGTCACCCTGGAAGCCAAATGAAAAGACCCCTCTATGTCTCCCTACTGTATAGTTTTTTGTTTTTTTTTTAAATGTCATTGGTGCATGTTCCCCAGAAAGCAGAAAGTGCTCAGCTCCCTTCCTTCCTTTTTTTTTTTTTTTTTTTTTTTTTTAAACAATAATTTGACTATTATCTCTAAAAAAAAAAGGCCAGAAGATACTAAGAAGATTCACCCCTCCGTAGACTTTCAGCACAAACCCTCATCAAATCAAAGCCAAGCAGGTTTGCTCATACCTCCTGGGCAGATCAGGATGCTTGTTCTGTGATATATGAAGATTCAAATGTAGTATAGCCCAAATTCTATGAGACTTAAAGCTGCTGTGACTGGATGGGGCTGGACAGTGGAGAGTGGTACTAACATTCAGGGCAGCACGCACCGAGGGACAATCGCCCAGAATGGATGAAGTCTGCGTTCGGATCATTCATTCCTGGACACATAATGCCCTAAACATTTATTCCAGCACTTCACTGAATAGCTATTAACCACCTCCTGTCCGGCCGTTGTATATAAACGGTGGCAGTGCAGGGTCAGGTGGCCATTTATAAACGGCCTCCCCGCACCCTGCTTGTGCTCGCTCCGGACACAGTGAAACACCGATCGTCGGACGGGACCTCTGTACGAGGTCCCCATCATGTGATCACTAATTGGCGAATCAGTGATCACATGAAGAGTAGTAAGCAAGATGTCACTTGTGACATCATTGCTTACTACGTGTGAAATCTGTGAATTATCACAGAGGTCACATGGTACAAGGCTATTCACAACAGCCTTGTACCATGTGACAAGCTGTGACCAATCACAGCTCACTCAGTAGTTCTCAATGGCTGCAAGAATGCAGCTAGAGAGAAGAAATGATTGCTTTTACATCCTTTATGGGTGTAAAAGCAATCCGTGTAAAAAAAAAAAAAAATCTTCATCACCCCCCCGCAAGTAGTACAGTGTCACCATGGTGACACTGTACTGCTAGGGTGACAGTATGCAAAAAAAAATAAATAAAAAATAATATAAAAAAATTAAGAAAAAAAAATGTTTTAAAAATTATAATTTTTGGTTATAAACTAATTTGGGTTATTTTTTTTTATTAATAAAAAAAATGAAATAAATTTTGGCCAAGATTTATGATGAAATACTATTTATTTACAACATTTTATAAGAAACACTTTTTTCAAAATTTTTGGACTTTTTTAATTTACATAGCAAAAAAAAATAAATTCCCAGTGGTGAATAAATACCACCGAAATAAAGCTTTATCTGTCTCAAAAAAAAATGCTAAAAAATTCATATAGGTACATTGTTGCATGACCGCGCGCAATTTTCATTCAAAGTGTGACAGCGTTAAAGCTGAAAATTTGGCCTGGACAGGAAGGGGGTAAAAGTGTCTGGACTGGAAGTGGTTAAAATCCATCATAAGAAGCATACACAGGCACTGTTTTGGGGTATTCTACTTTATCATGCATTAGGCTGTCCACACACATTACAATCTGATTGTACAATGTTCTGTAGATTAACCAACAACCACTGTGCTAGATAAGGTGCAGCTCACCAGAAAAGCTGTCTTTATCCATTGGGATCAAGTTACGGGCTTGGTAGAGGTAACAACGCAGGTGGTAACGGTTTCCATCTATGACACAAAAAAAAAGATATCTTCATGAATAATGCTAAACTATTAATTGGTTACATTTACAATACAATTTACTAATAAGGATGAAAAACAGGATTATTCTACATTACCTTACAATCTGTTTTTTTGGGGTTTACAGTAACTCTTATATGACGGGGTAACACTGTATAACCCAAATGTCTGAGTAACTAATATCTTCCCATGTCCCTCAATGGGCGATAGAAAATAAGAAATTTGTACTTAAAGTAAAATATATTTTACTTGAAGTCCATCAAGGAAGTAATTCTTACATTCTATAATGGAATCATATCAGAATAACGGAGTGCGTGTGTATCTTAGGCCTCAATGGGTGGTTGCACTCCCCCTTCCCCCTTGACCACCCACCAAAAGCCTCACAAGGCAGTGGAAGGGGATTATACATGCATTGTCATTCATTACAGCACATACCGATCAGTGGGTCCCGGCCAATGATTTATGGCAGAGCTCTGTCCTGACAGCGGCGATGTGCCGGTTTTTGTTTCCCTGCAAATAAAGATGGGCTGTATGTTCGAGTTGAACGTGTGTTTGGCGAACACACAAATGGCAAGGGCGGGCGTTTGTCGGGCTGTTCGCCCGCCACGCTCCACAATGCATTGTGACTGGCCAAAGGTCAGGTGCAATGCTTTGGCCAATCACAGCACATGATGATGTCATAAGAGAGCGACCCCGCCCCTAGTGATGTCACCACACTATTTTGGAACTGCCATTCTGGCGCAACTGTCAGACGGTCGGGACCCAGCGTTGAGAGCGGAGTGGGTTTTTTCTTCTTTTTTCGGGAAGGGGGGTGGGCATTGTAATTGATGTTGGATCTATTTCGAGGGACATTTTTTAAATTTTTATTTTAAATATAGGACTTGTCAAAGGCCATCTACTGTCATTTTTCCGCTACACTTTTTTGTGTGAATAGGTAGTGGTACCTTGTAGCCCATACTCATTCACATAGGGGGGCGGAGATCTGGGGGCCCCCTTGTTAAAGGGGGCTTCCAGATTCTCATGAGCCCCCCTGCCCGCAGACCCCACAACCACCAGCCACGGTTATGGGGAAGAGGTCCTCGTCCCCCCTGCCCAAAGCACCCCCACCATGTTGAGGGCATATGGCCTAGTGTGGTTCAAGAGGGGGGGTTGTTAGCTCGTTCCCCCCCCCCCCCCCCCCCCCTTTCCTGACCTGCCGGGCTACATGCTAGGATAAGGGTCTGGTATGGATTTGTTTTAAATGCCATTTGTTTTAAATTTTCACATGGGGGTTCCCCTCAAACTCTATACCAGACCTGAAGGGCTTGGTATGGCTGGGGGACCCCATCCTGACAGCTGAAACAATAAAGAGTGTTTTTAGTAGCTGTGCGGTATCTTACCGCATACTCAGATGCAGTAAGATACCGCTTAGTGAATTGTCCCCTCTGTTCGAAGTTTTGCAGTCAAATGTTCGAGCGCGAACTGAACAGGGGGTGTTTGGCTTATCACTACCTGCAAAGCAGGGAATAAAAACCAGCACATCTCTTAGTAAAATCAGCAGCACACAGTAAACACTTAACACATTGTTAGGCACACAAATAACCCTTTTATTGCCCCTAGATGTTAAGCACCTTCCCACCTTGTCATTAGTACAGTGACAGTGTATATTATTATCACTTATCACTGTATTAGTGTCATTGGAGATGTCAGTGGCAGTTAGTCAGTTCTCACAAAGTGTCAGACAGCCCGCCGTACTATCACAGTCCCACTATAAGTCGTTGGTCGCTGCCATTACTAGTATAAGAAGAAATAAATAAATAAAATCTCCAGTCTCTATACCATAGTTTGTAGACGCTATAACTTTCCTGCAAAACCAATTAATATACACTTACTTGAATTTTATTTTTACCAAACATGTAGCAGAATACCTTTTGCCCAAAATTTATGAAGAAATTAGATTATTTTTATTGGGTCTTTTTTTGTTTAGATCATAAAAAATAAAAAAACCCAATCGTGATCAAATGTTAAAAAAAAAAGATATACATTTTGTTTATGTACAGCATTGCATGACCACACAATTACCAGTTAAAGTAGTGCAATGCTGAACTGCAAAAAATGTCCTGATCATGAAGGGAGTAAAAATCTTCTGGAGGTCAAGTGGTTAAGTTCCAGCATGAAGGACAATAAGACTTTGTAGAACGTGTTTTACTCACAATCAAAAATACAGGATATTGTAGGTCTGTTCACTCCGAAACTCAGAGTACAAGTGTTCTTTCCATCATCACTTTTGTCATCAGTGACTCCACCCTGCAACATAATAGACAGCAATACAGAGGTTTATAAAAGGATTCAGCAGCAAAATGCTCTCAGTTGTAGGCCATAAAGGACAATGCAACTAACAAAATAAAAGTCCTGCCTAAGGACATACAGCACACAATGCCCACTGCTACCTTTTATTATACAGAAAAAAGCTGCTTCTGTGTCAGTTTCACTTTGTTATGCAGGCCATAGACGGGTCGAAAATCGGCCGATTTTTCGGCCGAAAATAAAATCGGCCGATTTTCGGATCGTTAGGGGGCTATTTTTTTCGGCCGTTTTTCGGTATTTTGGCAGATTTTTTTTATCGGCCGATTTTCGCGGCAATGATGGGCAAATCGGCCGATTTTTTACCGATAAAAAAATCTGCGCATGAGCAGTGACCTGCAAGAGGAAGACAAAAAGAAGAAGAGGAAGAGGATGAAGAAGAGGATGAAGAAGAGGATGAAGAAGAGGATGAAGAAGAAGAAGAGGATGGAGGATGAAGAAGAAGAAGAGGAGGATGAAGAAGAGGAGGATGAAGAAGAGGAGGATGAAGAAGAGGAGGATGAAGAAGAGGAGGATGAAGAAGAATAAGAGGATGAAGAAGAATAAGAGTTAGAAGAAGAGGAGGATGAAGATGAAGAAGAGGAGGATGAAGATGAATAAGAGGATGAAGATGAATAAGAGGATGAAGAAGAAGAAGAGGAGGATGAAGAAGAAGAAGAGGAGGATGAAGAAGAAGAGGAGGATGAAGAAGAAGAAGAGGAGGATGAAGAAGAAGAGGAGGATGAAGAATAAGAGGATGAAGAAGAATAAGAGGATGAAGAAGAATAAGAGGATGAAGAAGAATAAGAGGATGAAGAAGAATAAGAGGATGAAGAAGAATAAGAGGATGAGAAGAATAAGAGTTAGAAGAAGAATAAGAGGATGAAGAAGAAGAATAAGAGGATGAAGAAGAAGAATAAGAGGATGAAGAAGAAGAATAAGAGGATGAAGAAGAAGAATAAGAGGATGAAGAAGAAGAATAAGAGGAGGATGAAGAAGAATAAGAGGAGGATGAAGAAGAATAAGAGGAGGATGAAGAAGAAGAATAAGAGGAGGATGAAGAAGAAGAATAAGAGGAGGATGAAGAAGAATAAGAGGAGGATGAAGAAGAATAAGAGGATGAAGAAGAAGAAGAAGAATAAGAGGATGAAGAAGAAGAAGAAGAAGAGGATGATGAAGAAGAAGAAGAGGATGATGATGAAGAAGAAGATGATGATGATGAAGAAGAGGATGAAGAAGAAGAAGAGGATGAAGAAGAAGAGGATGATGAAGAGGATGAAGAAGAAGAATAAAAGTTTGAAGAAGAAAAGGATGAAGAAGAGGATGAAAAAGAAGAGGATGAAGAGGAAGAAGAAGAGGATGAAGAAGAGGATGAAAAAGAAGAGGATGAAGAGGAAGAAGAAGAGGATGAAAAATAAGAGGAATTTCAGTCCGGCAAAAAGTGTCCCTGCAGAGAGCTCCGCTATTTCTTTGACAGTTCCTTGACATTTATAGCGGTTGCAACATTGTATCTATTTGTTTCCGAATAAAAACATCTGTATCCTAAATGGATACAAATAGATACATTGTTGCAACCGCTATAAATGTCAAAGAAATAGCGGAGCTCTCTGCAGGGACACTTTTTGCCGGCTGTAGACGGGATGAAAATCGGCCGATTTTTTTTTTTTTTTTTTTTTTTTACCATTGCTGGTAACATCGGCCGCTTGAACGACCGATTTTTTTCGTTTTTTAAAAGAAAAATCGGCTGTTTTTCTCCCGTCTATGGCCTGCATTACTGGAGCCCTGACTTTTCCAGACTTCATGACCTAGCCCTGTCAGCTGACATCCCCCTGCCCAATGACATTGCAGGTGTGATAACACATGTGGTCTACCAACCCCTAAGTATGAATAACCAAGATTGGGCCAATGCACAGACACAAATGGGGTTGAATAACTAAAGGTTGTACACTTTGCAAGGGATTTTCCCCCGTAGCTTAATGAATAAGGTGAAGTTTAAATTTCCAAAGAATACCCAATCACGTGCAAGGAAACTAAAAAAAACAGCATTTTGGCTAGGACATGATTGAATGACAGAAGTCAGCAGAGCTTCACCACACTCAAAAGAGCAACTTCCCTTGAAAAGTGAATGGTCTTTAGTAAACCAACCCAAGAGGAATCTGTGCTGTGATGTAGGAGGGGAACAGTAACGATTGGGGCCCCGCAGTAGCCAAAGAATGGCCAAAGCAAGCATTGTTTGTATACTTTTGGCATTTAAAGGACAACCTTACTTTTAGGGAATGATTAATGCAACTTGTAGTGCTGCTCAAAGTTGTATGCCTGGAAGTAACCCAACTGGTTCTCAAGAACTGAAGTCCTAGCATTGATTCAGAGGCAATGAAAATGAAGAAGGGTGGACGTTGCATTGACCTTCCCAGTTGAATAGAGGTGTTGGCCCAGCTGCTGCTCCAGCCATGCCCCCTGACCCATTTTGCCCTGCCCACTGGGGGGCTTGATCACAGAGGTAAACCTTTAGGGACGTTGGTTCTAGCCAACCCTTCTTTTTCGAGCATGGGCTCCTTTCATTCCTATTGGTGAGCCATTCTCCGAGGGGCCACTGCAGGCTGCCATGAGTCCAACTACCCATAATGAGGTGCAGTGCGCCTGTGCAGAATCAAGAGGAGTCACCCAGGACCACCTCGAAGGTAACATCACTGGATTGGGGCACTAAAGGTGAAGTTAATCCTTTAAAAATATTCTCCCAAGATCAATTAAGACTCTCCAGCCACTGAGGAGCTAGATCTGTCACATGGGAGGTAGGCACATGCTCCTCAATACATGCATTTGCCGGATGTTGCCCTTGGCTGCAGAGGAGGAAAAAGCAATGGAGGAAGGCAAGTAATGTAGGTATTGGAGGGCAGTTGGGGGATGCATGACCCTGTGACTTTGCCTTGAATGGCTAAAGTGAAAGTGTCTCTTTAAGAGTTTCTGTTGGACCAATAGGTGACAGCTGTTCTGGTCCAATCATGCGCTGGAGTTTAGGTAGATGCAATTTGAAAAGGCAGAAGCAATAAAAATGCTAATTTTGCCTAGGTTTAAACATGGCATGATTGCTGCGCCTCTGCAAACCAACTTTTTAGAATCGTCGACTCCATCTAGTGGCCATTATGTAGTATTTCCTTGAATGGGGTATTTCAGGAAAATACTAAATTATGGCCAGTAGATGGAGCTGATGATCATAGGAAGTAAACAAATTACACAAATTACAGGGATTAATCATGATAGCAGTGTGAATTATGAAAGACATTCAGTAATTTTTTTTATATTTAGACCTCTATATATTTGATGTAATCTATGCCTTATGTGAAGATATCTGTTTGCTGTCTTTTTGGTATCAATCAGATAAATGCTTCCGTATTTTCATTGCACCCTGTCAGAAGCTCTTCGCCTCCTGCCTGGTTTGTGTAACTGGACGGCCTACAGAGAGGAAAAGCAATTGGGCTCCTGTGAGGCGTCATTTTGACACCCAGGAATGTTCAGGAAATTTATGGTGATGGAAGAGAGGTGACACGCCGCGGCTCCAGAAGTGACAGACTGTAGGTGGTCCGCAGGACCCCATTCTGGTTTATGTAACTCTCCCAGCAAAAAGGTCCATTTATTGTGTGCAAGGAAACTGGCAGTGCTGCGACTGAACGACAATTCACGCCTGGTTTTCATACGATGTTGAGGCCGTGCGTTCACCGCGTGAAAGGCAGGAACATCATCCCTGTGTAAACACAGCGGCACACGCGTGGAAGAGTCACTGGGAAGGCATGCAGACCGACTTCTATTAGGGCCGGTTCACATCAGAAAAACGCAGTGCGGATGCTTTTCTGTATGTGCTTTTTCCCCTCCTTTTTTGATCATTTGGGGTCCGGTGTGTTCTGGTGCGTTTTTGATGCGTTCCAGTGCAGTTCTGTGCAAGAAAAATACAGCCTGTTCTATTTTTTTGTCTGGAACCAGAACGCATTGGAACTGCAAGCACTGGTGTGAGCTTTGTCATTGATACCCATGTAACCTACTTTCTGTGCATTCTGGATGCAGAAAAAAAAATAAATTGGAACATAGGTAGTGTGAACTGGCTCTAAAAGTGTCAGCCTGCAAAATTCAAGACACTCATTTTTTTTTTTAAGGAGCTAAAGGCACACTTTTTTCATTTTGGACAGAATAAGGTAGGCCTGTTACCCCTCTCAGTTTTTTTGCCATCTGTGTACCATTGGGGAAACTTCCCTTCACTTCCTGTCCTATAGCCAAATAAGGAAGTGAGACGAAATCCCTCTAAAATGAGGGAATCCCTGTTTGCCATCCCCAATGGAAGATTTCTCCTTTATTCCTGTTCTGGTGACAACCCAAAATTTGGGATTTTCTTTTATTTTGAGTTATAATGGAAAATAGGACAGATAGAGAGGGTGAATGTCCCTAAGGGGGCACAGACAGCAATAATGACCTGAGATGGATCCTAATTGCTCTCCACACTCTCCAAAACTAAAAAAAAAAAAAGTTTTACCTTCAGTTATACTTTAAGTATGGTACATAAATACCTTCTAAATACCTCCAGGCATATATAAAAGGCACACATTATGTAGCTCTCTAATTTATGGTATATCATTAAAGTGGTTGTAAACCTCAGACACGAATATATATACTGTGTTCTTGTTTCAGTCCAGAGTACTTAGTGTAATTTTTGTCTGCTGCCTCCTTCCTCTGCTATAAGCATGAATCACTTCCGATGAGTTTGCCTGACACCAGAAGAAAAATGGTGACAGGGAAGGGTAGAGCCTGTGATTGACAGCCTCAGATCTGTTCCTGTGTGGAGGGGGTGTGTCTCTTCCCTCCAATCAGCTCTCAGAGCTCTCCTCACTGAGATCTGCAGAGAGTAACTTCAGCTTCCCTGATTTTTAGAGCTGAGAAATCCTGTGTAAATTCTGCACTTTGAATGAATGTAGGGGACAGACTACTATAGATAAACAGGTACAACTTTTGTAGGAGGATTTGTTTCATCTCCGTTTATCACCTGAGACCAATCATTTCATTGGGAATATCTAAGGGTGTACAACCATTTTAAGGGCTCATTCACACGAACTGTCATTAGGCAGTAAAAGCAGGTGGTTGAGCCACAGACGCCGTCCCCCTTGCTGCCCACCTAAACACAAAAATGTATCTGGTAAGGGCTGTACACGTCATGACCGTGATGTTTTGCTTCATGGCAAAAATTAGACAGCATGTTGCATTCAACTGGCAGTACCGCCACCAAAGATGACCCATTCAAGAGAGTGGAGCTGAGCCACAACCACCCTGATCCAACGTGCACATGGTTGTGGCACAATGAATCAGCATTTTGAGGGTTTAAATAGAGGGCACCTGTCAAATGTCCTCAAAAATTGACTGGCTTTTCAGTGGGGCGGCATTAATCACTGCCATAATTGCATTTTTTTTTTTTATTAAATCCACTGTGGATTTCTTTTTAGCGGGGCATCATTAATCACTGCCATAATTGCAATTTTTTTATTTTTAAAATGAAAGCTGTATAAGTAACTGAATGTACTGAATTACTTTTGCAATCTACTGTATAGTTTGTACAGCAGAGCTCAGAGAGGGGAAAGAAAAGCAGCACAAGGAGTCAGATGTGCTGCAGTACAAGGTGCATGCTGATAGGAGGAGAGAGACAGGATGAGCTTATCAGTCTGCTGCTTCTCCTTCACTGACCAGTCACATAGTAGGGGCTGAGAAGAGACAGTGCTCTCTTAACCACTTGCCGTCCGCCTGCTGTTTTTAAACGGCAGGGCGGTGGCACTCCAGAGGCGGGTTGCCGTTCATAAACGGCACCCGCTATTTCTAGTTGTGCGCGCGCGCAGCACCGTGATCCGGTGCCCGCTGTGTCCTCCGGACACAGTGAAACAGCGATCGTCGGACGGGACCTCTGTACGAGGTCCCGATCATGTGATCACTGATTGGCCAATCAGTGATCACATGCGACATCATTGCTTACTACGTGTGAAATCTGTGAATGATCACAGAGCTCACATGGTACAAGGCTATTCACAACAGCCTTGTACCATGTGACAAGCTCTGACCAATCACAGCTCACACAGTAGTTCTCAATGGCTGCAAGAATGCAGACAGAGAGAAAGAAATGATTGCTTTTACATCCTATATGAGTGTAAAAGCAATCACTGTTAAAAAAAAAAAAAAAAAAAAAAAAATCTTCATCCCCCCCCACACGTAGTACAGTGTCACCATGGTGACACTGTACTGCTAGGGTGACAGTATGCAAAAAAATAATAATAATAATAGAAAAAAATTAAGAAAAAACATGTTTAAAAATGATAATTTTTGGTTATAAATAATTTGGGTTATTTTTTTTATTACTAAAAAAAACTGAATAAATTTTGGCCAAGATTTATGATGAAATATTATTTATTTGCAACATTTTATAAGAAAAACACTTTTTTCAAAATTTTTGGACTTTTTCATTTATATAGCAAAAAAAAATAAAAAAAAAAAACAAATAATATAAAAGATTGAATAAAAATGTAAAAAAAAATGTTTAAAAATTATAATTTTTGGTTATAAACTAATTTGGCGTATTTTTTTTTTTACTAAAAAGATAACGGAATAAATTTTGGCCAAGATTTATGATGAAATATTTATTTGCAACATTTTATAAGAAAAACACTTTTTTCTAAATTTTTTGGACTTTTTCATTTATATAGCAAAAAAAATAATAAAAAAAAAACAAAAATAATAATATAAAAAATTAAATAAAAATGTAAAAAAATGTTTAAAAATTATAATTTTTGGTTATAAACTAATTTGGCGTATTTTTTTTTTTTACTAAATAGATAACAGAATAAATTTTGGCCAAGATTTATGATGAAATATTTATTTGCAACATTTTATAAGAAAAAAACACTTTTTTCTAAATTTTTGGACTTTTTCATTTATATAGCAAAAAAAATAAAAATCCCAGCGGTGAATAAATACCACCAAAATAAAGTTTTATCTGTCTCAAAAAAATGGTAAAAAATTCATATGGGTACAGTGTTGCATGACCGCGCAATTGTCATTCAAAGTGTGATAGCGCTGAAAGCTGAAAATTTCCCTGTACAGGAAGGGGGTAAAAGTGTCCGGACTTGAAGTGGTTAAATTGCATATGTAGCTGGAGTTCAGCTTCAGAAAAGATAGTATACAACATCATTGTTCCCTCACAACTCTATAGGCTTCATTTTCCATTTCACAAATAGCCAGAGGAGACGTGTTAATTATTCTTTGATGTCTCAGAGGCTAATTTTCCGGCAACTCCATACCATGTTTAAGTCATGTTTCATGTTACAGACACCTCCAGGGATATCAACCCTTTTTCACACCTTCGAGCCATTAGCAAAAAGAAATAACTTTACACACAAAGCCTTTAGTTACAGAACAGAACTGAAGCAAGCACACAGCCTTGTGGCACGCCATTAATGACTGTTCTCTGTACCGAATGAACCTCATTCACAACTACATTCTGTTAGCTATCCTTGATCGCTTATCCACTGAACCACCCATAGCTTGTACAACTTTTATATTTGATCATTATGTGGAATTGTATCAAATGCTTTACTGAAATCAAGAGAGGCTATGTACACAGCACTACCCTGGTCCACTCTGTAGCTGCACCCAGGCCAGTGCTAGACTATTTTGCACCCTGGGCAAGACCAGCTACTTGTGCCCCCCCCCCGCCCCCCCAAAAAAAAAAAACATTTTAAAAAACGATAGAAAATACTAAATCAACAAAACATGAAACTGCTAAATTTCTTTTAATCTGCAAAAATAAGTGCCATAAGATACCACCAGCACCAATATTAAAGGCAATATCAGTGTCACGGATGGACTGTATCTGGCTGGCAGTGGCAGGGTGACAGTTGCAGAGAGTGGAGGATGATGGATCCACACTCTGACAGATCCCAGGCTGGAATTCCCCAGGCAATGGGAGGAGATAAAACGCTGTGACAGCAGGCAGCCCAGTCAACACACACCGAGAGAACAAGTGAAATGAGCGATCCCACACAGTGACAGATCTGACACAACACCCCCACCAACACAGATCAGCAGGCCCTAGAAGAGCAGACATTGGGATCATGATGATATCACCACTCACTGACACATTGCGCAGGTGATGGATGGCCGGCTGGGTCACACTCACACAGACAAAGCACATCAAAGTCAGACATTACCTTCCTCCGCAGGCGCAGCTCGGCTGATGAATGGGAAGTAATCCGCAGCCACCAGCCGGCTTGCAGTAACGGACTGAGTCTGAGAGGAAAACTGGAAGGAGTGGCAGCTCAGCTGCTACACTGGCCCCAGGCACCGGGCATCCTTCTCTGTCCTTCTCTATACTCTCCACCTCTCTGCCGCCCCTCCCCTCAGCTGGAGCTGGAAATCCACAGTAATACGCAGCCACCAGCCGGCTTGCAGTAAGGGACTGAGTCTGAGAGGAAAACTGGAAGGAGTGGCAGCTCAGCTGCTACACTGGCCCCAGACACCGGGCATCCTTCTCTGTCTTTCTCTATACTCTCCACCTCTCTGCCGCCCCTCCCCTCAGCTGGAGCATCATTCATGATGTGGCGGCATCCCACAAAGGGAATGCCAGCCTGTGCTGCGCCCAGGTGCCCCTAGGTGGCAGTGCATGCTAGGTGGCTGCCTAGTTTGCTAGTGGAAATACCGGCCCTGGCTGCACCCAACATTGCACCGACCCACCATTGGTGACAATTAGTGATGAGCTTGGGTTCAATCCAAGCTCGACCAAACTAAGATATTAGTTGTTTGCTGGGCCAATGAGTTGTTGGCGGAAGATTCCCCACCCTGCAGCTGACCTAGACAAAGGGCAGCAGATGCTCATGACATTACTGACCTAATATCGGCACATTTACCTGGCTTGGACAGAAAAAACTCGTCCTCAGGGACAAACAGGCTCCAGTGACTCTAGATTTTAAAAGTTTATTTGCTTATTACAACTTGTAGAAAGAGGGCTAAGGGTTAAAAGAATACCCAAAAAAACAGCATAATATCCGAAGCCTTCAAGGAACATCAAAGTGATAAAGGCCTTAATAGGATCAGTCTTCTACTAACAGCATAGTTAATCATGGCTCCAATATTTCAGTAGCGGCCTCCCAAAATTAGCCATTTGACTCTAAATATGAGCCCAATAACAGCTACCTAGAATAGTTCACAGCAGAAATTCCCATATAAGGTCCTCTGGAAGCAGCTTATATCAAGCTCTCCCGGACACCACACTGCTCAGTGGACTCCTCAGAAAATGTTTCCAATGGGTAGCCACCTTCCTGGTTCTTTGGCCTCTACCACAGGCCAGATTTAGGTTCTTAGGCAACCCAACTTTAGGCTTTTTTAGGCCTCTGCCACAGACCAGTCAGTTTCTTCAGGCCCAGGTTCAGGCTCCTAAGAGAACAAAACTCTTTTACTTTAGGTCCAGGTTCAGGCCCCCAAGAGAACAAACACATATACTTCATTATGGCTTCCTCCTGCAAGCAAATGTCTTAGAGGCAAAAAATCCTTACACTGGCAACCTCACCAAGCAGGCATCTGAGACAGAAGACCCTTTTAGAAAGTCACACCAAATATGTATTCTCACCCTTCCTCACTGGAGTGAACCCATCATTGCCTGTCCACGGCAGGAAAAATATTCATAACTCCATACAGTGTAACTTCTAACTTTAACAACTGCAGAACACTCAACAGTAAAGATGAGCTAAGGTTTGGGCTAAAGTCAGTTGGGCCTGAGCTCATGGGAAACTGTCACTTGATAGTAGGCCACCAGTGCGTAACATAGGGGTGGGGATGCTGGTGACATCATTGACCTTGTAAGGTCACATGGCCATATTCACCACTTCTGAATATAAGAGGGGACTCTGCTGGGCACTCATTGATGTAGGGAAGACTCTACTATGTACTCCTAGAAGTAAGGGAAGACTTATTCATTTGTTTATTAAACTGATTTTTTTGGCTGACAGATATTTGAAAAATGTACAATATGGTTCTTGTACGGAAAAGTTTGGAGACCAATGATCTATGCCCAAAATTTAATGATGGTGATTGCCTGCAGCTTGGAAGTTAGGTTCCTCTCTTTTCCTCACTAAAAAACAGCAATAAGCACTTCAATTGAATCGCAGGAGGAAATACGTTTACAATAAACAGAACAATTAGCACTGGTTTAATTTTAGGAACAGTTTTAAGATAGTAAACCTTAAATGGAATGTGTTAGTTATTTAATTGTTTTTGTTGTATATATATATATAATGTTTTCAACATTTGTTAAATACCTTGTTTTTTCATGTATAAATTTTAACTATATATGTACATGGGGCAGCCATATTTGGTCATTATATTATTATTATTATACAGGATTTATATAGCGCCAACAGTTTGCTCAGCGCTTTACAATATAACGGGAGACAATACAGCAACAATAGAGTTCAATACAAGAGGTATAGGAGGGCCCTGCTCCTTGGAGCTTACAATCTATGCTAAGAATCTGCTTTCTCCTTTGCTGTGCTACACAATGGCTTTGCTTTACTGCTTCTTCTGCACTGCTCATCTATGAGTCAGACAACTCAATGAAAACAATGCACACCCTGCATGGCTAATAGTTTATCTCAGCCATTGTTAAAATGGACCTAGCAATAGATATAACCTGAGACAGGGGAGTACCTACCGCGAGGCAAACAAGGCGTTTGCCTAGGGCGGCAATTTTTAGGGAGGCAGCAACGCCCCCGGAAGAAGGGACCTGTTGAGCAGCGGCGGACTGAACAGGGAGAGAAGTTGAAGATTGATGCACTGTATATCTCTCCCTCCAGCAGCTGAAAGCCGGTTTGAGGTTTCTCCCTCTTTCCCTCCCGTCGGCTTTCTGCTGCTGGAGGAAGAGACAGACCTGGCCGGATGGAGGGGGTGCCCTGGTACTCCTGTTTGGCCCCTCTCCACTGAGCTCCTTCCGCCACCCGCACCAGGAGTAGGGGGAACGCCTGGAGCAGGGAGAGAAGTGGCGGAGAGGAAAGAGCCCGGAGGAGGTGAGCAGTTTTGTGTTCCCTGGGC